CATCAGCGTATAAAACATTAATGATTGCAAGCTATTCATTAGTCCGAGAGATGATAAATGTATATTTTTTTGAGATGATGACTGGAGTGCAGACGCAATATCACTGTAATTTATCCACTGCAGATAGCATATACAGTCTGATCTCCTATAATGCATGTTTTCATAATACGAATTGGATATAACGCGATTGAGTGAACAGAACTGCGTCACGCGAGTAGGAATAAGCGGTTTGACGGCTGCCTCGACATCGCATCACACACTGCTGGATACTTCCAGATGTTACCCACGCGCCTCGGTCTTTGTTCAGCCTGCAAACGCATCTCATGTGTCATCGCGGACTGTGCTTTACGCTATATGATATATTATTTATTATAACACGATATTTCCATAACGCGGTGTTCTCCAGGAACGCGACTACTACGTTATAGCAGAACAGAATGTGCAATGTTTTTCGAGGAAGTGTTTGTAATGGGCCTTGTATAATGAATAAACAGTACCGTACTAGCAGAGAACGGAAATTAAGAGACAGCTGTCATTTTCTGTACTGGTCGGGGCTCTAAAAGTAATCTCTTTTTTAGTTCACAAAATGTCAAGATAACATGTATTGTGAGGGTTCTGTTTCTAATCTCTAGGATTTTAAGAGTATTCTGGCTAAATAATGACATTAACAGGAGCATGAATTGAAGTTGAGCAATTTCATATGAACCACGTTAGTCTTCTGTATTCATTACTCCCACCTCTTCTGTGCCACTATTATACCTCTTCCGAGCTTGTTCCGCAGTTTCAATCCAATTCAGCGTTTATTTTCTTACACTGGAAATTCCGTTTAGCCAGTTACCAAGCTAGTTTTGGTGGCAACGGCCTGCAGCCAATAACCGTAGAGTTATTTTGAAAATTTTGATTTAAAGCTTTCGTGACTGCAGGGATTCATATTCTTGTTTCTTTCGGTAAAGTCACGTAGAAAGGAAATAATAAAATAACAAAAATATAAAACAATAAAAATTCTCACGACGTTTCGACTGCAACACTAGCAATCATCATCAGGTGTGCTGTGGATTTCACACCTGATGATGATTGCTTGTGTTGCAGTCGAAACGTCGTGAGAATTTTTTTTGTTTTATATTTTTGTTATTTTATTATTTCCCTTCTACGTGACTTTACCAAAAGAACCAAGAATACGTAGCGTTATTGTTGGTGTGGCGAGCAGCCCAGACAGGAGCCAGGTAGGAAACAAGAGATATAGATTATTTCAAGAGCAGCATGATATTATATGCAATGTAAACAACAATGAACAACGCTGTAGCAACAGTAATGGCATGTATTAATCTGCTCCATTTATACCCACAATATGAGCAATAGTATTTGTATATGCATGCCATTAAATAATTTCAAGTTAATGAAGTATAAAAACAATCAAATCACGTTTACCTACAAAAGCATACTGGCTTCCCTAGGCATAGTTTGGAATTTACAAGCTGTGATAGTGCTAGAGAGTATCTGAGCCTTACGCGTGAAGGTCATTCAATATTGCTCTAAAACAATACCAAGTCATATAAAAACAAACGTTGGCCTTATATCGAAGCCATCTTGTACTAACCGGTACATATTACGATTTTAAAAAATGTGCTAATTGTGTGTGTGCTTACTTTAAATATCCTCATCATGCATATTATTTAGGCTCAATAATCTCCAAAACACCATGGCCAATTTGAACTTAATTTAATTTACATTTAGCAATGTTACGTAACATTAGCATGTTAATCATGTTCTCATGATTTTTATTATTATTTAACAACCACCACTTCTTCCCACGCAAAGACAATTTCTATCTCGAACCAAATCACTCCAATTGTGCCTAGTCTCCTCGGACCTTGGAGCTGCTATGTGGCTGGCAGATGGTAACCTTGAACATCATCCCCTTATATGCATGGATTTTCTCCCGGTACAAACTGCGTTTTCCTCCAACATGCCAACCCCGTTTTTATTCATAGCACAATCCTTACCAGATCATCAAGGGTCTGCAATAGTATCATCTCTCACGGACCAAATCTACCACTTTACTTCTCAACATTCCACCATCCACCCTGTTTTACATGACTTACAAATTAAACATTCCTGATTCTCCACTTATGATGTTTATTCCCTTTGCACAAGTATGCTTCTCCTCTGCACATCTTTTACTCTATAACCGAAGGCTCGGATATCCTGTAAATAGCCTTTGTGATGTGCCTCACTGATGTATTACACTTGCCCCAGGGATTTTCCGAGCCTCACCTGCCCAGTCAGATTATTAAAGTTTGCATTCTCGTTTGCCTGCTAGAGTATACGTCTGCAATTCTATTCTCGTGTATGCCATGAGTGGGCTTCAGGTTGAGTTTGTGTAGTTTTGCTATTCCTCCATTGAAGGAGCACAGACCACAGTGAATTACTGTATGGTCCATAGTTTGTATATTGCGTGAGATTATACAGTATAAGTGTATGCATAATTAAATTAACCCATTGCGATTATTATTGAACACCCCTCATACGTATTTCAAAATATTGTAGGAAGATCATCCTATTACACAGCATGAGAGGTCTTCCCACCGCATCAGTGCAATCAATGGCATTTGTAGAACTACACCAGCACCACTACAACAACAGGGAGTGCGCACGCTATTGCTGCAGTGCAGCGAGTCATCTATCCTTCATTGTGAATCGAGCATGAAGCAGGGTACAGGAGGGATCCTATCATTTCATAACATAAGTCAGTCCCAAAGGGCCTCTGTCTACCAACGGATTGTTTTTCTTATCCCTTGGAAGACACAACAAAGAAATCCATTTATTACACCTAATGGTCTCACATGCACTTCACAAGCAGACGGGTCCTATCAGTAACACTCTTTGTCTTCAATTACCACATATAGTTAACCTCCTGAGCGAGAGCTCAGTTTTCTGTTTTTACCTGCAGCCAACCCAATGGGATTTCTGCTGCCAGACCAAAGTACCATATCTGTTTACCTCATTGCTCACATGTCAATTTGTATTTATCGATTTTGGATTGTACAAGCTGTCAAGTAATCAATTACAATGTTGGTGCCTGATGCCACAGAGAAGTGACCAACACTGGTGCATTGATTGGACTCGCCTTTCCCTCCCCCCCACCCCCAAACTTCCCCCGCACCCTTCTTGACTACCTTGACCACATCACCTGTCTTCCATCGGGAGCAAGGATTTAATTTACACATGCATGTACGAATGTAGTTCTACTGTCAGTGTAGAAGCTGCAAGCTCAACTTACAAATGAAAGACTATGGGTTGTTCTGTCAAAGTGTCTGGACACATTTAACTCGTCCATATTTATTTCTGTCCACTCGGCAGTAAAATGCATAACCTGTAGTGAGTCTCCCGGAGGATCACTTTGGAAGACTACACTGATCAGTGTGCATGTCGGATAAATGGCCCTCTGAAGAGAGAGAGGTCCTCCACTTCCAACAAGCATTGGGTGCAAACGTGAATTTAGTGCACAGCCAGGCCGTTTCAATGGCTATGGTAGAAATTTGCGTACCAATACTCATAATGTATTGTATTTTGTTAGTGTACGGCTGGATGATAGTCTCGCCATGCTGTATCGGTCATTGGGGTTGTTTGACCATGGAGTACTTTACCGTACTCGTTAGTGCGGCTTAATAAAGCTCGTGGAGTCAGTACTGCTACGTATTCGTTGAAATGGCCAAACATCCCAATGCAAAATCCTCCTGGATATAACAGGACCCTGCGGGGTGGGCTGGTAGGAATAATACTTAGTACCGGTACAGAGATACCGACCGGGTATAGAGGAGTTAAAGAAAAAATTACTGTATTCTAGTGTAACGTTAATTAAAAGTGTTTGTTTTGACAAGAAACGCTGTGAGATTTAAAGACTCGTAGTCTTTCATTTCCAACACCACCCTCAACACCACCCCTCCCACGGACGGACGGACACATTAATCTATTGGTGGTCTGGTCCACTTCGTTCCTACCAGTATTATATACTCTCTAAGCTTCTGGATGCCGATGATATGGAATGACTGCGGCCTGTAGCGCTACTGACAAATTGGTGATAACATGCTGTATAAAAAATTGTGGATTTCACACTGGTAAAGTGTGGGTACTTCCACCTTTTCCAAGACGACTGGAACAAAAGGCCAAATACCCTCTAGAGGGCCTCTCTATAGCTCCCTCTAGTGGAGGGCCTTCCACCAACCAGTGGCGTAAAGCGAGCAACTGAAGGCATGCGCTTTTACCTTGTTTACTGTAAACATTATTTTCTCAAATTTTAGGAGACAATCGCTGGGCTCCTAAACAGCAGGAGGGGAAGTATAGATTCTATAGTATAGACTCTGCGGGCTCTGCTGGCTGGTATTTTGGATTCAATATCCGCTGCTGCCTCTGCTCCCTTCGCACATGGATCCAACAGAAAGTCCAATACTGACTCCTGCTGGATTAAGGAGTAATAGCTGAGGCCAATACAAATCAAAGCCAATTACTGTTAAGTTTTTTAATATGTAAAAAAATCGGTAACATATTTAGTAAATGTTTTATTCTCGACAACATATTAAATAACTTTACTAACATGTCCTTAATTATCGACAACATATTAAATATTTTTTGATTTAAAGCTTTCGTGACTGCAGGGATTCATATTCTTGGTTCTTTCGGTAAAGCCACGTAGAAGGGAAATAATAAAATAATATAAATTTAAAATATATAAAACATTATTGTTTTATATTTTCATATTTTATTATTTCCCTTCTACGTGACTTTACCGAAAGAACCAAGAATATAACATAAATTGTCCAAAATCACGAATTACATGTTTGGAAATTGAGGACAGTGGATATAAAAAAAAGAGTTAAATGACAAAAAAATATATTTATAAATATAGTTTAAAAAAATATACATTTTGTTAAACTCAAATCAAAACCAAACCATAGGGATGGTGGTGGGGTAGGAACCACGTGCACGCGTACAGTGCGCGGCGCCGCCTCCACCCAGCACGTGGCCTCCGTCGTCCCACAATTCCGCGTACAGTGCGGCCACGGGAGCGCTTCCAAGCTTGAGGCGGCAGAGTCAAGAGCCTCCAGAAAGATTAAAACCGCGCAGAGAGGTAAATAAGTCGACTGCGGTGGAGTCGCAGTGACATCTGTCTGCATTACGCGGAGTCCCGGCGTCACTGGATGCCCGTAGTGCGCACGTACTGATAGCGAATCTCGAGACCTTATTCAGGAGGATGTTGGCTGCTGCTTCGTATGGCTGCTGCTGCTGCTGTAGACGCAGAACAACAATTCCACGTGGTGTCAAGCCAAATAACCGCGTCTGGATTCGCGGAGGGTATCATCGCTGTGATGTCTCCTTCGTATATGTGGATCGGGGTATTGCGTCGTGTTGTGTGGATGCTGCTTCAAAGGGCACATTCGATAAAAAAAATTTACACTTCACGAAAATGTAGCTTAATGTGGGAGGAAACCGAAGTAGCCCGAGAAAAGCCACGCTTTGTCGGCTGTAGAGACGTTTTGACCATACTTCACTACGCCGGTCACTGGTTAGGTGCTAGGAGGCCCAGGACCGGTCGAGTTTCAAGAGGCCACTTGGGTTCCGCGCCTCCCTCTTCACACACAAATATATATTGTGCACGCACATTAAACTGAGACGCACGATGTCAATAACTGGTCAAGTGTTGTTGAACTAGTCATGCGGAGTTTTCCACGTGGTGGAACGATGTGCGTTGATCGTTATATCGATTGTTAAGCTCACGAAAACATGTGCGTCGAGTCGCATGTGTAATAATTTTTGTTGTGTTCATACATTCCTGCGGTATTCTTAGGCTTTTTTCGGTAAAGTCACGTAGGTAAAACATCAAAATTAATGAAAATAAAAAAACAAATTACACATTCTGATGAGCCCCCCCCCCCCCACATTCTGATGAGCCCCCCCCCTCTCCCTCCCCCCTTCAACTTGCTTATAAGGGATTACATCTTGAATCATTGCCTCACTTGATGCAGCTAATTCGGCTGTGACAGGTCCCACCTGATGACGGAGACTTGTGTTGCCTCCGAAACGTCGTGATTTTTGTTTTATTTTATTTTCATTAATTTAGATGTTTTACCTACGTGACTTTACCGGAAAAAAGCCTAAGAATATGAATCCTTGCAGTCACGAAAGCTTCAAATCTAGAATTCCTGCGGTACTATCAACTTCAGTAGTTCTGCAGGCCGGCGCGCGGGCAGGTCACGTTACGTTTGTGTTGACCCGAGCGAGCCTCGCCAAATGTGATTGTCCTCCGAGTAAATGATCTACAGGCGAGAGCAAAAGTTACCGGCACTTATGGCGCGATTGCTTTTGTACGTTGAACTTTTTGCGCACCGCACGTAGCCAACCGCGTTAACCGGAGGTGCTTCATCCGTTCCCAGTAGGAGCGCCATGGCGGATGGGGTTCCCGTTGACAGCCCCGTTGCGGATTGCCAATCGGGTGTCGCGCACGTCAACCCCTCGTGAGTAGTACCTCCTGGCATCACAGCGCTCTCGCATCCTACAAACATAGTAATAGGGTTTTACCTTTTTAACTGGCAACAAAACTGGCACCGTTATATCATGTTTGCATTAACCACAACACTTGCGGTCAAAATGTAAACAAAAAGACAACTGATAATGAATGCACTGTGCTTGAAATTGATTGGTCCACACGTTTATGGTGCAACGACCTTGCAGAGCCGTCTCACCCAACGCATCCCAACTTCTATGCCAATTGGATTACAAGCATTTGATTGGGTAGACATAAATACGTGGACTATGTTCTGTAAGGTCTTCATGCTGCTCAGTCATGAATCGCGGTGATGCTTGCATTCATGAGGTGGGATTGGTTTAATTGCGCGACCACACTTCCCACTGGCTCATAGACCATTAGTTTGTGCCACAATCCTTGTTGATACGTGGGTTATCATTTCACGTGTTGTTGCCAAGTCAAATTGTGGGACTCATTCCACCCTCTGCAGTACGTTTGGTACCAGACTTGTCTCACACTGGTGAATGTCCAAAAGTTTTTCCAGCCATGAGCTAGATGTCTTCAAGTATATACATTTATTTGCAGTTAATGTTGTCACACTGCTACCAGAAACATTGTACCTCAATACTGGATTACTGCATAATCGTAGGACCTATTGGGGTAATATCACAAATCAATTACATTGGTAACTTTTACTTTTAATGTGCCATATTTAGCCAGTTTCCATACCTTTGGTGTTTGCTTGTACTCAGGTGTACTGGCACAGTATTAAGAACCGTTGACTATTTTTGCTTGTTTTAAATAACTACATAAACACACTGCTGAAGTTTTGGTAACATGTTTTTGTAATATACTAGTTTCAGTATATTTATATGTAAACAAGTCCACAGTTGACCACTTCTCCTAATGTAATTCACCAAACTCAGTCTTGAACGTCGGTAAATCTGGAAATGTGTAATGCCTTCCACAGCTACTTGACCTCAAAAGATCACTTTCATGACATTGTCAAAGCCTTCAAAGACAAGCAGAAATGTACAGGTAAGAACTCTGAAGGTGGCATCGCAGGAGAGAAGGCGGATAACACCGGAGACAAACCAGAGCCTCCAGAAAAGAGGCCGCGACTGGGAGACGATGACTACTGCAGCGCAGGGGAGGGCGGACCTGATGCTGGCAAAAGCCACCAGCAGCAGGATGATGTCACAGTTGCAGCGACTTTGTCTTACGCTGACATCGACAGCTCGGCGCCGTCGCGTCCGACCAGCACAACGGCCGTTCATGAAACCTCGATGGCCAAGAAGCGAGTACGGGGTCAAAACAAGAACAGGCCTCACGTGAAGCCCAACAGCTACGAGGTCAAGCTGTGCCCCTCCGTGTTGCAGGTAGGCACAGAAGGCTGCTGTGTGCAGGATATGTATGTCCTCAAGTTTTTGAGAGAATATAAACATCTGTGTTAAATTTGAAACTTCCAGAAACCTATCACGATTATCTATCTCTTTTTTGGATCAATAATTAAAATGTATAATGAGCATTCCATCCTAGGATCCACAAAATGCGCAATGCATGAAAAGCAGGAAACAAAAACAGAACCAGGGCAACCGACCATGGCTGTGAATAGTGCTATCGATAATGATTCAAACTTTGTTTTAATACAAAATTTGTACACTGGGCCTGTCTTGTTCATGAAGATGAATACATTGGGTTTGTTTCTCTTTCAGTGATGTGCAGAAACTTATAATATTGAAGTTTTGTTTTATAATTGCCACAAATGAATGCAATTGTCTTATAGTAAAATGAACGTTAATTTGATCAGTACTGAACCATAATTGATTATTTGCATGCAATAAAGGTACACACCAATCGTGCATAAACCGAACTGTTGATATGCAAAGAGTTAAACTATTTTGTAGATAAATGACAATGAAAACTTAGTGTTGCCAATGTGCAGTTTCAGTTATGGCTTAATCATGCTTATCTTATAAAATATTGGATAGCAATGCATAATTACAGACGATGTACGTTTGTCTCTGTTTTTCTTGCCGTGGTATGGCTTAGGGATCTACGGCTAAGTGCTTCTATGGAGACCGCTGTTACTTCATACACGACGTAGCAGAGTATATGCTCGTTAAACCGCCTGACCTGGGTCCTGAGTGTCACCTGTATCAGACGTTTGGTCGTTGCCCTTATGGCATCACCTGCCGCTATGCCAGTGGTCACCCAGAGATAGCTGGAGGGGCTCTGGAAGAAAAGACTCCAGCGAGGGAAATTACATTTGTTCCACTACCGGGCACTGTTAATCATTTGCAAAAGGGCACACAAAAGCTATTACGAAAGCGTCAGTTTCCATTCACTGGCGCAGAGACGTACCTGCGTTCGATGTCCAAACAAAAGGGAAATTCTAAACAAAAGCCAACCCCAAAATCTGAAGCTTCCGAAGATCCTAGCAGTACATCTATGAAGCATGGAGACTCGAAGTCGGAAAGCAGCACCCAGCCAGCTGAGCTTATATCCAACAATTGTCCCACCACATCGTCAGTGCCGATTGAAAAGGAATGTTTTCTGGAGTCTAATGGTAGCACATTGTGCAGTGATTTAGAAAAAGGAGTTGGCAAGTTGACCGATTGTTTGAAAATGGTGTCTGCTGGTGACCTGAACAATCACGGCCAAGCAGCCGCGTCTGAATGTGCAGCATCCAAGACATCAGAGCCAAGGGGTAGCAGTATAAGTGGGTGTCCTGTCCGCACAAGTGGCGTTCTAACGGATGAGGACATCATTAAAATCCGGCAGCCAGAGAAGAAGACGGTAATATTTTTGTGTCAATTTGTTTAGCTTTTGTTTGCTCAGCTCTTTTCCTAAAATAAGCAAGGTATGAAGAAGGGGCTTGGCCCGAAATGTTGCAATTACATATATATGTTTCTTTTAAGGCAGTGTTAATGAGTTATTGTTTATATAATGTTCAAGTTCATTATGTATATCAATTACAATTTAAATAATCTGCTGAGGTGGCTTGGAATGCTTCGAGGGTTAATGCCAGGGCACTGAGTGGGCATTGCTGAGATACTAGGTTTGAATTTGGGCAGCCACATTTGATTACACTTGGTTCTCCGAAGGAGTAGGTTAATGCTCTTAGTCTGGTCACCAATGACTGCACTGACATAATTTGATCATGTTTGATTTTCATTTAGTTTTCATATTTAAATAATGAGAATTAAACATTTTTATTTAATTTATATGCAATTGATAAAGTGAAGCTTGGCAAGCCTGTTGATGTTAATTAAGTAAGAAGTATTCTACAAATATCACCTTCCAGGATTGTTTTGGCAGAGGATAATGAACTGCTGTTTGCAAGTTTTAATATATAGTTCCTCATCTTATGACAGTGCTAATAGAACATTTTGGAATGGAGTTTTCCAATAAAAAAACGTAACTTTATAACCTTAGGTGTGATTTGATTAAAAATAGTATAGTGAATGGGGTATGACTGGAATTTATTAGAAGAGTTGACAAGTATAATATTTGAGTTTTAAGAGTATTCAGCTGCTCTAAATTTCCACATAATACGCCAATTCGTTAAGCTATCATTTTTGGCCAGGTCGCTTCTGACAATTAGCGATATAGCTCGGTGGGCCTTGCCTAGTAAAATTAAATATATATTTATAGTAGTTAATATTGTCAAAGATGGCAAAAATATCAATGTAAGATACATGGACTGCCCTGAAATGTCAAGAGGGTATTTTGGTCTACTCTTCTACACTGACGAGAAGTTTTCGAAGAGGTGGGAGTATCCACGCAATCTGTGGTGGTCCCATGAATAGTGTAGGGTGGACAGGTGGGGAATTTAAGTTACTTGTTTATATTTTCAACTGCTTAGCCGGGAGATCGAACCGTCAACCTCTGAATTTCAAGTCCAGTGTGTATTGCTCCATAACCGTATCTAGAAGAGCAGTGAGCTGCTATTGATTTGAGGGTGTCAAGATACATTTATCAAGGAATTAAGCTGCCGGATTATTTTCCCACACCTATCTCTGGCAGATACTATGTACTTCATTCCTGCTTGCCTCTTCCAAAATTTGCTTCTCAACCTGAGTAGCTGGCTGGCCTACTACTTCTGTTATCATCGAGAACATGTTCACATCCTGATTGCAGCTTTTCCATCCATTTCTAAATATTGGCATGATTCATGCAGTTGCTACCATATTGCGCCTTCATACTTTGATAAACCTAATTTGCCTTTACACAAAAAAATCAGGAACCTGCTGCTCTTTTAATTTGCTCTTTTTTCTGACCCACCCCTACTGGACATTTGTGAAAAAAGAGCTTCATAGCACATCAGATTTCTACAGGATAAAAAATATTCTGATTCTGCAGTTGTTAAAGGAATCCTCCATCTTTGATCGTGTGATACATCTGCTATCTAGCTGTGAGTCTATTTTTTCAGAAATGCGCATGGGTTCTAGGGAAATGCCCAATTACGCCACAGTTTTTTCAACCCAAATTTTCACTTAAATATGTTACGGAATTATTAAAAGTATCTTTACTGAAATTATTTAAAAACCCTTGTTGCCAGAAAATGAAAAACATTTTATAATGTTTTTGTTTTTCAGATTGATTTCAGAGACAAGCTGTACCTGGCTCCACTCACCACTGTAAGTTTTAATTGGTCATAGCTAAATAAATGTGCAATAGGCTGACTCTTGACGCATTGTTTTATTTGGCAGAGAGTGCCCTTTCTCTTGCTTTGTTCTTCTGATATATGTATGTTGAACTTTCACACTATACATAGCCAACCGTGTTAATCATCAGGACATTGAACAATCTTTATTGCTTTGACTCGTGACATGCCTGAATTTATATATTTGCTCAGGGTGGAGAGTTGTGTAGCACCAAATCGGGAACTCGTCCGTTGTCCTATGTTGCATACAGTGTGGTAACCTGCCATTCCGGAGGATCTGCAAGATGCAGGGCGCCGACATCACGTGTGGGGAGATGGCCATGTGCACAAACCTGCTGCAAGGCCAGATGTCCGAGTGGGCTCTGCTCAAGAGGCACCACACCGAGGACATCTTTGGAATCCAGGTGCATTCATGCTCCCTCTGGATTTCCCTTGCAGACTTTTAGTAAATTAATGTTAATCTTAAAGTCCGGCTTTTGTAAAGTATTTCCAGAGTAACAATGCATTCATATTCTTTGGGTCTTTTGGTAAAGTCACGTAGATAGATTGAATGAAAATAACAATATAACTACTAGTAATATAACTACTAGTAATAGGCTGAATGAAAATAACAATATAACTACTAGTAATACATTTTCTTTCAACCTTTACCGAAAGACCCAAAGAATATGAATTCCTGCAGTCACGAAAGCTTTAAGTCAATATTTAATGCATTCATAGTTTAATATATGAATCCTTCAGCTTATGGTATATACATAAAATTGCATGTAAGAGTCTTTTCATGACTCGTATGGTGAATGTAATGGGTTCACATGAGCCACTAGAGGCACGTTCATTGCAGTGTTAGATTAAAAAAATATCCCTGAATGAAATTGAGACGCTGAAGTGTAGCATTTCATCAAATTACCAGCAGGTTGAGTTTATTCAACCCTACTGCCCAAAATGGTTGTAATGTGTATATGTTTGAAACAGATTTTTTTACAGATGCCTGGGTCTATTAACATGTTTTAATAGGTTACCAACACCATAACCTAATCCTGAATGAGAGTGATTAAAAAAACATGACAATTGCATATTCTGCTAGATAAACAAACATGAGTTAACCCGTGTAAATATATATAAATATAATGTTTTCAGGTCAAGCTGAAACAGTTGTCACATCTGTTTTTATGAAATGTTACTCTTTAATTACCACCTACATGACGTATCTTGTGGGAAAAACAATCATTCGTACTGTATGGCCACATCTCATAGGTGTAGTGTGTTTATTCTGGGCCAATTGATGAGGTTCAGCAGACACCGAAGGGGTTTCCCTTGGTTTCTCCATGGTTGTAATGTCCGCTTGGACGATGGTGTTCCGCAGCTGGAGGGGGGATTCCCAGACACCATGACCAAGTGTGCAGAGCTTCTCAACCAGAATGTGGACATGGACTTTGTGGACATAAATGTTGGCTGTCCCATCGACCTCGTGATTAATAAGGTGCGGAGCTACTCATACGATGACCAACTCACCTTGGAATGTACCCGAACTCGGCAGGTCTCGGCAGCGAAGAAGGTTTGAGCCTGGATAGTGCTTAGATGAGTGGCCACCATGCGTAAAATTGGTGTTAGAGGCTGCTGCAGGACTGTTGCCAGCAGACAATCAGAATCGGAATATGTATTTATACTGGAGAAATCTGATGAGCTCAAAAGCAATTTTTCACAGATGTCCGGTAGGGGCGGGTAAGTACGATAAAGCAACAAGTGTTACAAAAACACGATAGGAGTGCATAGTATAGGAAAGGTAAATAAATCACTTAAAATTATGCAAATAAAAAATATATGTTTTTTCTTGCCAGGTAAAGCCCACTTGATGTATTAGCTTATTTTACAGAAGCGACCTGGTCACAAATGATAGCTCAACAAAGTGGCTTATTGCGTGGAAATTTTATAGCAGAGACCAGTGTACTGTGCTATGAGCAATATATATGCTTTCCACCGTTACCAACCCACACTGACCAGCATGGTGAAAAATGTTAAAACCCCCAAAACTCACATGGCATGGGGGGAAGGTCCCTCATCCAGCAGTGTTTTCACAAAAGAGCTGTACAGTACACATGTACATGTGCGATATATTTTAGTGTTACACCTATTCACCTCCCAAGTTCCACAATATAGTTTATTTGTTTGAAAATTAATAATCAATGCACATAATTTGTATACACAATTCTGATTAAATGAAATCCAATTTTCAAATGTTAGAAGTTGCACATTGCAGACCTTCTTGTTAAGCCTGTGCACTTGACATGTGCAGGCTTTGTTAAATCTTGAGTAATTCCATGTTATTCATTATACATTACAATTTGGATGTATATTGTATCTAGATTCACCAACATCTTAAGACACTGTGAAGTGGGTATCTATGAGTATACCAGCTGGGTGTTTTTAACCATACAGCTTCCAGGTGACATACCAAAATTAACAGCCCTTTTTTGATGATAGATGCCTGACAAGAGATTTAATATTCTTCAAACACATTTTTTCACCTCCTTCGCAGACCCACCTTTCCCCTGATGCATTGCCTTAGGGTAAAGGTAGGGATAGGAAAATTAACACTGACTCTACGTTTATAAGTAGCTCTGTGTGTAGCTCGTGCTTTAAGTTACTTGTGCTTCTATTGCCCATGTGTACACGTGCTCTTGTGCACAGGGAGGAGGATGTGCTCTCATGAACCGGGCACTTAAGTTCGAGCAGATTGTGCGTGGCATGGTGTCGGTAAGGCTAATCAATTAAATCCATACAACCTAACACCATTAAACTAATCTTTATCCACTCAACATGATCTTGTGTTGGACATCATGCATTTCTACTTGTTACATTTCTGCGTGACCATTTCTATCCACGTGTTTATATCTTCCAATCAGTCACACATTGCCCATTTATTTTAACTTTATGGTGTGTGTGTTAGTGAGAGACTTTTTTCACGTCTGTGTTCTCCTTCACGCACGTGCGTTGTTGTAGGTTCTTGATGTGCCCCTTACGGCAAAAATACGGACCGGAGTGCAGGACAAAACGAACACGGCCCACAAACTCATCCCTGAGCTGCGTGACTGGGGCATCTCGATGGTCACTGTACGTACAAGCACACAGCTCAAATGTGACTACTGCCAGAAATGGCCAGCCTAACCACTGGTTCCTTCTGTTACTCTGGAAGCAGATGTCCACGCATAATTTTTCGGTGATTTGTTGAATTATATCGCTGCTGGAATGCATATTCGCAAACCTCGGGATGTGTCTACGTACGCCTCAAAATTTACTTCCGTGAAAAATAGAAAAATAAATACATTATTGGTCAATGTTTCATCCAGTAAGGCATATATACAGTTTGTGGAAGCTGGTGTTACCGTAATAAATAGATGATAAAAGTCCTCCATGAAAATTCACATCATTATAGTTCAATTTGTTGGACTAAAAGACACAATGAATACACTTTTTTTACTTAATTTTGCAATACGAATTATACTTGTTAATGTAATGTTTTTTTGTTCATGCCTATATATACTAACCACTAAATTTGCCCGGTGTTAGTTATGCAGAAAATGTCTCTGCAGCCATTACACTTATTAGGGAATTCACTCATAAATTCCAGCCTAAGCTCCTGAAGTGCATTTGTAAATCAACAAAGCAATGATCGAGGCAAATGGTTTTGACAAAAAAAAAGGGTGTGTGTACATCCACTGAACAGCATTCACCACATGGTTGGCTCAGTGATTGACACGAGCCTTGGCTGGTGTGTAAGAGGCAGTGCTAATATAAAGGTATTTAGGCTTATTACATGCGGTGGCACTGCTCTGTTGTGTGAGTGTAGCTGCATGGCCGATCGCGGGAACAACGCTACACAAAACTGGCTGACTGGAAGTACATCGACTACTGTGCGGAGGTGGCCAGCCCGCTGCCCTTATTCGGTATAGTAATCTTGAATAATTCCCTTTACCTAGGAAAGCCTTACTGAGTCTCTAGACTCATTTCAGGAGGTTTCTACATTGGTCTTTTTCCAATTCCATTCCTTAGTTTGGCATCTGAAAGGAAACTAGAGATACACAGAAAACATTAATATTTTGGGATAACACTAACAAGCTCTGCACAGAATTAATACATTGAATCTCAATGTGAACTTAATCCATTGTACTGCCATCTCCTGGCACCTTGCATCCCCCTGCCAAACAAATCCGGATGTGCACTAGTGGTCACCCACCCAAGCACTAAGCAGGCTTAGTCCTGCTTTGCATCCGAGATTTGACAATGATCAGATTTATTTTGGGAGAATTAGTTGTGAGATATGTGATGTGCATTCTTCCATGGTAATCCTGTCCACTCTCAAGCAGATAATTAGCGTTTTGTGCAAACATACTATTTGTCAGTATTAAGATCTAAATATGGTATTAAAAAAATACACTGCAATTTTTCTTAATGCTATTTATAATTATTATCCTTGAATTGAACACTTGTTGCCAACAATTGATAGTGTTGCATTGGATATTTATGTAAATAAACTTTATTCTGCTCTGCGCTGTGAATTTATCACGCTACAATTTCTGTTGGAGGATTACATCGGTGGAGTGAGAAATGTACGGAAGATAGTAGCGGAGCCACTACAGTACTTTGAATAAACTGGCATAAAATCTAGAAGAGATTTCATATTTACTGCACTTGTTCTGGTAGTTTGGGAAGTAAAGTTGGAGCACAGTTTATCGGCATGCGAAAATGGCTTGGAAATGTGATAACATTTGAAAATCTCATGACAATGAACAGCTCGTGTCATGTCAGTCTTGCTTGCATGTGTAGTGTCCTCCCGCCCGGCGTGTGTGTGGTGTGGTATGCGGCGCACACACTCAGTCGGAGACGAGGTAGTTGCAGGAGGCACCGTCTCTCTCTTTATTATCTCTATCTCATTTACACCACCCACTCCGGCCTCCTCTCTCACGACCACGCTGCCGTACAGCCCGGCCCAGACACGACCTTGTCCACGTTGCACCGACGGCGTCGACCAAGACGGCCAACTACTGTTCGGCCGCGCAATGATCAGACGAAGGCGGTGGCGGCGACGACGAGACGAGTCCACTCCCCGAACAGGCAGCCCAGAGCTCTCGCTCTCCGCTGCTTTTATTTTACTCGGCACGGCTTGGCTCCGCCCTAGCCGTGTCTCCCTTCTCGAACCCACCAGAGGGTTCCAGGGGCCCCCCTATGAGGTCTACCGTGACCCTTGCCCCAGTTCCTCCACCCTGCCAGCACACCCGTGTATATGCTCAACGGCGCATGTGCTAACTGTCCACCGCAGTTGCTGCTGCTGGACAGCAGTCGGCGCTGTCACTACACTATCCTTTCGCAAATTATATGATTTTATTATTAAGTTCAGTTTTCTAAAAAGCACAGCAGCCTGCTCTTGTTTTTATTTAATTAGTTTTCTTACTGGTCTGCCTCAATAATAGTCATACGCACTGAAGTATTGTCCAGATTAATCTTCAGTGTTCAGCACACTTGTTTTACGTGACTTATGTTTTGCTCCAGAGATGGAGTGGTTCAATGAGACAATTTGCACATGGGTCATTACATCGCAGGACCATCAGAGATGGCGATGGCTTTGGGAGACCTTCATCCATCAGTGGATTGACCATTACTGCTGGTGATGGTTAGGATTAAATTACATTTTTCCCATGCAGGCAATGGAGATGTGCTGTCTTACGAGGACATGGATCTGGCTCGACAGACGAAAGTAGCCGGTGTCATGATAGCCAGGTTGGGAACCATCTCACTTGTCTTTGTCTTATGGTGCACAAACCTTGTATGTATGTTGAACTTATTTTGCATCGTATGTAGCCAACTGTGCTAATCGGTGCGGAGGAAGGACACAAAACTAAACATCAACAAGCTTCACATTTTAATTAGTGCTTACTTAACAAGAGCTTAAATACATTGCAATGTTGTACAATATTTAAGGGTGCCTCATTGTGCCTGGGGTGCTTGCCTTGGTGCCGTTTTTTTGCCTTTTAAGCGCTGCAGTCATGAACGAAACGTGATTTGGATATCTGTTGAACATTAATACACTTCAGGAGATCATAATCTCACGACTTATAATAGTTCTGTTTTGATAGGTATCTCAATGTGAAAAAATACCATGGATTTGTACGTGATTAAGTTTTTTGATGCAAAAATGAATTCCCCCCTCCCTACTCTTAGGTTTTTTCGGTAAAGTCACGTAGGTAAAAAATTAAATTAAAATTAATAAAAGTAATAATAGAAATAAAATATAATTTTTGTTTTCTGTACTGGAAATGAAGGTTATTTCATGTCTAGGAAAATTTATTTGTGAAAACAAATGAATCAGTTGGCACAATAGGTTGTCAACCATTTTAAAGCATCGCGTACAAGCATTTGGAATTCACTTGGTTCGTTTTATGATATACGTTGTGACTGATGACACAAAGTTAGTGCTCAATATGATGGCTCTTGAGTGCAGAGGTGCGCTGATCAAGCCATGGATCTTCACGGAAATCAAAGGGCGGCGACACTGGGACATCTCATCCCACGAGCGCTTTGAGCTGCTGCGGGACTTCACAAAATATGGCCTGGAGCACTGGGGCTCGGACACGCAGGGGGTGGAAAAAACGCGCAAGTTCCTGCTGGAGTGGCTCTCCTTCCTCTGCCGGTGAGCGACGCTTTGTTGCTCGTCACGTCTACATGAGATCAGGAATTTCATCTCGGATGTTTGCTTGCATGACATCTGGTCATGCTTTACATCACCAGATGTGAAACTTTTTTAAATAACAGAAGCTTTATCACTGGTGGGTTGCACTGCTGTATGGGCTCATATAATTATGGGTGACAGGACCATGTCATAGGTTTAGCAGCAGTGTCAGACACCAATGTCAAGCAATGTTTTTTTTAATTAGCGCACCATGAATTTGATATTTCTCTAGTATCTGCAATGTGCATTGTGTTTATGCACCTTCTAAGTTATTTTCACGTGTGTATATGTAATGCAAGGTATCTTAAAAAGCAAAAGTTGGTGACCATCAATGCGTGGCTTGCTTTTTACAAGAAAAAATATGCCTGACTGTCTGGCTCAGGTATATCCCCGTGGGAATCCTGGAACGTGTGCCGCTGAAAATTAATGAGCGTCCACCATACTACCTGGGCCGAGATGACATGGAGAGCTTGATGGCCAGCCAGAACGTCGCCGACTGGATCACAATCAGGTACGGAGGGTTCCCCGTAAGTTTTGTTCTTGGCGCCACAGTGCAGAGAACAGAATGGAACTATGCCAACCAGTCATATTTGTGACTGCTCAGTGTGGACAGGTGGCAGACAGCATGATTGAATTATTTCTATGTAAATGATTGATGCTTATTATTTTTTGGGAAATTTATGAAAATTGTAACTCTGCAAGCCATTCTTCATGAGTTTAACATGTAGAATGGTGACCAATATTCATGAGATTTTTTTTGGGTTAGATCGCACAAATATAAACGTGTTCTTAATTCTTACATTGTTCATTTATTGCTCTAATATCTAGGCTCAATACCCGAGGAATGGGGCCCATTTATTGTCCAAGGTTCAAACCCGTTTGATCAGTGCGTACCAGTCTCAGACCCAAATCAACACCGTCTTCCATCTGCAACCCATGGTGATCGGCTGTACCCATGTGTGAACCTTGTGCAATACGGCTAGCACACTTTCGGAGTCTCCAACCCAAAAACCTGGAAAGACTTACCAGCTCACCTTCAGGATCCATCCCTGAGCCAGTTTTGCAAGATACTTAAACCTGTGTTTTCCAAAGAGCTTTCCACGTGTGCATTCGTGATGGACTGGACTCAAGAGTGCACGATAAGAAATGCTCAGACTACGTGCCCATCTGTGTACTTGAACAGAGCCATAAGGTTTCCATTGCTCAGCCTCCCGTTTCATCCTCCCCTGCCCTATTCCCAACGAAATTTTTTAAACTAAATTTCACTCAGCCTGGGTTAAGTTAGACTATCGCTAGCTAACCTCTCCCCTATGTATTTCCACACTATGTTGCAAGGGATGTCTTGACCCCATGAGGTTACGACCCTTTTCGAAGTAGTCCTGGGTGAAAGCGTGCAACCCCTTTATGGAAACAAACCCCAAGGCCTGTGCCAAGTTGTGTCACGAGTGCTGTATGGTAGTCATGGGAATGGGGAAACAGTAGTTAACCTTTTCAGTGTTCATCGAAATGTGATACACAATGTTACGGTGAAAATGATGCCTGTCAACCTGTGTTCAAATAGTCGTTAAAGTATGATTTTATTGCCTAATGTGGTGTGACCTTTTTGTATGCAGTGAGATGCTTTTAGGGCCAGTGCCATCCAGCTTCACCTTCCTGCCCAAACACAAGGCCAATGCGTACAAGTAAGAAGAGAAAGGTCCTCCGGGTGACCATCGGCTGTGGCCCTTCACGTTGCTGCACGTGGATCAGGCTATGGCGTCCGTCAGTGTTGGTGGCTACAACATGCCAGGATTTTGTGGAACATATCAATATATATTTTTTTGATATTTTGAAAAGTACATTTGCCCTTGTAGAAGTGAATGATTGTTGACTGACAAAGGTAAAATTAATAGGGTAACCAGGGCATTTCAGTGTTGAAATAAAACAAATCAGTTGGTATATATATTATTTTTTCTTTGAGTAAAGTCATGTTGAAGGGAAAAACAATAAAATAATAAAAAGAAAACTGTTATTTTATTGTTTTTCCCTTCTACGTGGCTTTACCGAAAGAACCAAGAATATGAATCCCTGCAGTCACGAAAGCTTTAAATCGAAACAGTCGGTATGTTATAAATCCCCAACTGTAAGCATTAGTTACAAAATAATGCAGAGATTTTTGGGGACTAAATCAAATATTAGTTCACCTGTTACCCTTCCCATAATGTTTTTTACTGTTGATTTATATCTCTATGCTGTTGCATATTTATACTTTAAATCCATACTATCACATTGGGTTTTGTAGTTTGTGAGCATAGATGCCGATTGGAGTGGGAGTCATTTGCTGCCTGTGTAATGTCATTGTAATTTGTTTTTTTAATGGATAAAGTGTTAATTTCCCATTTTGTTTATTACTGCCTTGACTTCACTATTTGAATACCAATTTTTTACTGTTTGCTTGTTTTGCATGAAATCTAAAATTGCAAAGCACCATGGCCTTTTCATTACATGAATTAGTTTGTTTCACTTACAAGGACTTCAACCGATTATTTAAGGATTGGGTATCAGCAGTTTTTTCATATGAATGCAGGGTTGAATTGCCTGGTTAAATAGCTTTCTGAAAATAAACTTCTCTGTAAAACATTGTTTTCTACCATCTTGACAGACCACACATTGTAATTATACACGTTCACATTTGGCTTCATCTGGCATAACATGTGCTGCCTTTCGCATTTTCTCAGCTTTCTTAAAATTAACAGGGAGGTTTGTGGTTAAAACACTATATTCAGAATTTAGTTTAAGTTGCAACATTTTAGTGGGGTTAGAATTTTGGGCTTAGTTCTGTCAGTCCTGCCCTTTCTTGCTCAGGTATCTTGCGTCGTCTAAGCTGTCCACTTCCTATTTAGGCTCCACCCCTTCCCATTAGGCTATGCCCACAATGAGACCCACCCCTTCAGGCAGCTTGGATCGTGGAAAGGGGAGCGTGCAGCTATAGATAGGGGCTTGGTGGGGATGGTAGGTAGGGGTGGGGTAGGTTCACAAAGACCAAGGGCTTGGGAATTTAATATTAGAATGTGCCATAAAAATTGAGTTTTGGAAAAACAATTTACCAACGTGAGATTCGAACACGAGATTTGTTTTAAAAGGATTGTTCAATGCAGAAATTGATGGTATATAGATTCTGGGTGACTCATACTTGCAGTCTTGCAAATCCAAGTCGCTTGCATTCAGAGATTGTATATTTAACATGCTCAAGGGCAATGTGTTGCACATTCCACAATGTAAAAACTATGCATGTCTTAAAAGACCAGCGTTAATATTGCAAATACTGTCCGTTTTTAAATCCTTAGCCACTATACACCAATTTTAATATTTGCCAGGTATACCTTTAATTAAAAACGTATATCTCACGCATTTTTCAGACCTGGCACTGCCACTGCCAAAAGATCACAGGCTCGATACAAAACCAGGAAAGAAAGCTTTTATTAGCGATGTTAAACTAATGTGTTCAAAACAAAAAAAATTGCGTTTGCAATTGAGTGGGCTCAACTACGTTAAATGATTTTGCACACGACCAAAATCACCTGGAATGCGCTTCCAAACTCGAATGCAAAGCATTGAGCCCGAAGAGTTATTGGATCGATGGCCATGCATAACAGGCATTCAAATCTGTGGGGTTGCTTCACAGGCAGCAGATGGCAGTCCAGCTAAATCCATTGCTATACCAAGCCCCAGACCTTAACAAACCATCACCAACCAGTGTAACGAAGCACTTTCGCAGGTTACTTTTCTAGGCAATGTATTTTATAGTAACCTATTTGCAAGGCCAGAGTAAGACTGGCAATTCACAAGACGATGACTATCTGCAACCCTGGTGGTTTACACGAATCTCGAACAGCCCTTGGTTTAAACCATGTAGATATCGGACAGTCTTTAGTTCCACCATGTCGGCACCGATGTCATCCACCTTCAGTCGTCAAGTCCCCGAGCCACTGCCCTTATCGCGGGCCTCGCTCCCTCACCTGCTCGGCCACACCCTGGTAACATCCACCACTTCCCCCCGGTAGATACTTCCAGCAGATAGTCGTCGACGTCCCTCATACAGTACCCTGCACATGTTTCCACCCATTTTTGCTGACCCCACTATCCCTTGCCATGTTACAGTACCCTACACCAGTATGGAAAAGCTCCATGACCATCACATTGTGAAGGGAAAGTGAATACATTTACAAGGGCTGCACGTGGAAATTAATCTTAAATTCGAGTGCTCAGGGAAGGTTATAAAGCTGAACTTGTTCTTTTTAATGCGGTGTCATTTTGCACGAGTCTACAAGGGCTTGGAAAATGTCTAAGATGATAAGTGTGCTCTTTGGTTCTTTCGGTAAAGTCACGTATAAAGATAAAATTCCAAATTAAATAGCATACGACGTTTCGATTGCAACACAAGCAATCATCTGGTATAAAAGAAATAGCAATAAAAATCTAACCAGAAAACTATAGACAGACATAAGCAGACAGATATCACAAAGATACATAGAGAGAGAACACATCGGCACACAGAACGTCTGTGAAGAGGCCTTAAATAGAGAGAGGGGGCGGGGGCGGAGAGAGGGAGGGGTTAGAGAAAAATTAGCATGTCAAAGAGTAGGACGACGCGTGGTACGGTACGCAAGCTTGAAAATTAGGAGAACGGGAGAGACACTAAATAACCTAGCAAAATATTGAAATGTAATGCAATGCAACAGAGTCTGTCACACAATTAACGCATAGTCTGGTTGATTACGTTTTTCAAAGATTGCCAAGTTAGAATTTAAGTGTGAAAATTCCAAAGAGAGGACAAGCAGAGAGAGAAAACAAAAAAACCCAGAGAGAATCCAAAATATTTTTTTAATATCTGCCATCATGTCACAATTGAAACATCTACCAGAAAACCTTTATTGAGCATTAGAATATTAAAAGTATAAAAACAGCATAATTATAAACGCAGTCTTAAATTATGTAGGCCATGCGAGTCCATGTTACTGAAATGGACCGGAGCGTTTTGTAGAATCTGAAAAACACGAAACAACGTGTTAAAATGACGTGCCTCAAGTGAAGCACCATAAATTTAAACAGTTCTTGTAAAAATCTGAACACGTCACTAGCCATCCAGATTTTTTTTTAAATATTGGCTTTAGCCTTGAAGGGATGCAATGTTTAAAACAATGCTGAAGGTTTTCAAGAACAGGTTCACTTTGATACCTAGGCCAGGCTGCACACATGCCCGGCCGCACGAGACGAGGCAGCACTTGAACTCCCCTGGGCATTCCAAGTCACTGCTGCAGCCCTCTTCAAGCCGGGTGCACACAACCTTACTCGCCAGAGGACACAACCCGAGCTTGTGCACACCTACAGCCATCGGGGACAAGTCAAGCAGTTAAAAATATTACAAATATCCAATACAAACGCAGTAACGAGACATTAAAATAATATTTTAAATCTTACATTTGTTAGCGTGATAGCGTCATTTCAGTGTGCAAAGTATTCCGTTGTGGATTGTAAGTTCAAGCTGTGCATGACCGAGTAACAATGGACCATGCAACTAATTCTCACGAGTTGGGTGATAAATTATCCAAGAGCAATCCGTTTTTAAGCGTTCATAGTACATTTAGCTAACCAATGGACCAGCCGTGAATTCTGTACCTTCTTGTGGCTGCATGCAATAGCGTTCACACTTTGCGTCGCAGCACTTCAGTCGGCCAGGGCACTCGAGATCGGCAGAGCAACGCTCCACAAAGTGAATGCACAAGATGTCATGAACGACGGAGGGACAGAACCCAGGCTTCTGCAATCCTGGGGTTGAAGATAAAGCATTTCCAAACAGTAGTGTGCCAGTCACCATCAGCACTCGTGAAACATGGCAAGGACACACGGTATTTTATAAATTACTAGGATATTTATTGCAGAATTTCCCAAACGTGTTCTCACGATTTCCCATTAAATAGGTCCAACAAAGTCCTAAAATGCATGCATAGCTTAAATCTGGTCAAAACAATTATCAAGTCTGAATTGCCAAACTTGGGCATTCATTGCCATTGCTTTTCGGAAATGACGTCTTATCCCATATAACCACTATCTTTTCATGCCGGTTCATTTGCTCGTGACCAAATCGCTTTAAATTCAGATATCAGAAACCAAGCAGGGTTGAACGTGGCTATTACTTGTGTAGCAGAGGTCGCAACCAGGTACCCGATACCCGGCTACCCGTACCCGGCACGGGTACCCGTTTGCGACCCTGGTGCGGCCAGGTACGGGTAAGGAATCAAAACCCGTTTGCGACCTCTGTTGTGTAGCGACAGAATTAGTCACCAAGTAGCATAGTGCTGGCTGCTGGCAGGGAAGGGGATCTACAGCTTGTAGAAGCCCTGACAGCAGGCCACGTGATAGACCCAAAGGGGATCTAGGGAAAAGGTTACAGAAGGGACACGGCCGAGAGCCCGCTAGTCGGTTCCAGAAGGAGGGCATGGCCAGGCGAGTATAAGAAGGGCCCCCAGAGGGGTCCTCAGGCCTATCACTTGGAGTGGGATTCGCGTCGTCGTTGCTGCTGAAGAGTTGCCATCGCTGTTGTCGTCTCCACTTAATTGCGCTGCTAGATGTAGTTGGCCGTCTTAATTCAGCACCGTCAGTGTCAGACGGCTAGCGTTGTGTGTAGGCTAGCTACCTGTGTAGAGTTGCATATACGCAAGAGACAGTAAGTGTAGGGTGTGTATTGTAAAGTGTACAAAGTGTGCTCGGCGTTTAATTTAAAAATTGCCTCCAAGAAATTGCGTCTCCAAGTCATTAACGACACTTGAAAGGATGACCCCACCAGGGCCTGCCAGGTGCTGTAGGAATGAGGCTGCGAGATTAATAGATGGCCGTTCCAGGTAATCCCATCATACGAGCGGTGGTCCCTCTCCAATTTCCACCCACATAAAGCAAACATTAATTAAAACATGACATTGGCCTAACAATATTCGAACCCTCCTGACAATCTTGGAGATTCGGCAACAACGTCTGGGGGGGTACAAGTGGGAACATCATTAAAATAACAGTCGAGCGTGAAGTGTCAGGACACTCGCCTAGGCGTGTGCCGGTGTCGTCCCACCCGCAATGTGTGGCACACGACCCCAAGGGGCCCGGGCAGGCAGTGATGTTGCCACAGCTCTCGTCAGGAACCAGGCTGCAGCTACTGCCGCTTCTAGAACTCGGGTCCGGCACGGTGCACTCCCCAGGGGCTGGCGAAACCCACGCCTTGATGCAGGTTTTGTACGAGTCCGTGTCTGCTACATTTAAGATGCACACAAAGGGAGGTTTTACACAACCAGGTCTCACGAACTTTAAAATAAAGCAGTGGACTACAATTGACCAATGTGCACGTACCCGTTCTCGGGCATGCGTCTACGCTCAGCTGTGTTTGAATAAAGTGCCGTTTATTGGGGAAAAGCACCTTCAATAAGCGGTAACACTGATGTAAAAAAACCGAAATCATGCAGCGTGCAATTCTATCGATTTAGTGCACTTAGGATACAATGAACGATTCCAGCCAAAATCCGTCCCATTATAGTTTTACACGTTGCTGCGATTCGATTGCATTCCCGTTCTGCAAACAAGAAATCACAGGGACTGTGCGTTAGCAACAGGTGTTCGTTCAAGACAAATTACGTTTTGTCAAACGTTTAAATTACTCAGACTGCCACCGCATGAAAGGGGGTTCTCACCCGTGGCGATGTTCTTCGCCGAGCTGCGTTCCCACGAGACGTTGGCTAGGCAGGTCCAGTGATCAAAGTTAGAGTCTAGCCTGGGGCATGAGTGGTCCCACATGGACACGGGTCCGGGCTTCGGAGCTGTAGGAATGGACACAAGAAGAAACAAAAATATGAACAGATCCCTGCCATGTGTTGAACCTCTTTTCGCACCGTATGTAGACAACCGTGCTATATCGGGAGGTGCGGAGGCAGGGGGAGAACTAAAAAACTAAAAGTTTAAATTTATATTTAAAAGTGCATAGGCTCTAATGACTTCGTAATACATCGGAAGGAAGAACACTCAAGACGGCCACAGAAGCGTGCGATGCAGTGACAGTCTTTGTTCGATAGCCAGCCAAACACCGCTGTGAGGATGACCAGAATTGGCGTGATAATTTTATGCTACTTGCATTCGGCAATGCATTGCGGCACGACGGTGCGCTCCATGTGCTGGCTCCATGCCGTTATCACCCAAAAACATTTTTCAGGAACCGAAGCACCCAGCAAGTGGAAGTCGGGACAGCGTGCCGAACGGCACGATGTGCAAATCGAAGCCGCGTTCCAAAAGACAGCCAGCAACAACCACGAACACCTACGCATTATTAAAAACATTGACGTTATTCGCTGCCTAAAAAAAAACACTCTGCCGTTCGTCCTTACCTCACACCCAATAAACATGGAGCGTTGGGCCAACATTGCATGTTTACCGAACGCACGACCTTGTCAAGTAACCGCAATGGACATTTATCCAAGCGCTGCACTGCCATGTTGGAAATTTAAATTAAAGACAATGCTTTGCATCGTCGTGTGGGTAACGAAAGTTAGAGAAACACACGCATTGCAGGATAACAAAAAATAAGCCTTGTTATTTTACCAGACCCACTGAACTGTATGGCTCTTTTAGACGCGATCTGGCTGCAAATGATAGGTACAAAGTGGCTTATCATGCAGACATTAATAGCAGCCAAACACTGTAAAACGCATGTACAATTCTATGGAGGGAAAAATCCGGAGGACCCAGGAGAAAATGCTACTTGACCACCTATATATAAAAGAGGTAGCTAACATCTCGCCACCGTGGCACCCCCCCCCCTCCAACCTCAAATAATCTACACCGATGGGTTCACGGAGAGACGAGTTACATTGCCATTTAAATAGCCACATCGCAGCCCAATCGGGTGCGGAGAAAGTCACATCTGCGTCATCCAAAAAGCCTCGCTCCCAACACTTTGAGATTGCAAACAACGCGCCACCGTACGCAATGCTCAACCCATGATTTTGCCGGTTCCCTGCTCTTTAAAAATGCCTTGGTTTCATCAAGTTGCCAAGTCCGATAAGAACTCACATGGACTTAAACATAGCTTTAGGACTCGGTAAACATTTGCGTTCTATAAAAAACATTTGGTACTTTCCACATAATTCTAGGACAATGGTAATGCTCCTCGCCGATCAGATTGTGGTCGAAGCATTAACACCTACACAAACTATCGCACAGTTCTAGACCAGAACGCTCATCAGCATCAACAGGTAAGATCTGCGAACCGTTTATGCACTGGCATATTCGGTTGTTCGTATAACGGGCAATAACATGACCTGCAACCAGCTTTGAGAAGAGCTCCAGCGATAGGACCACGAGCAGCCATCCGGTGCGCAAAGACGACTCCATAATAACTCGAATGTAAATATCGCAGCTAGACCTGCCGGACCAGCTATTTATGGTCGCTCTACTCCTCGCCCTATTGAGCTGACGGCTTTACAAGGTGACAATAATCGCCTATAATTGCCCCTTCGGTGGGTGGCAGACCGGGTGCCTCCTGGTTTCACGTGCAACAACACTAATTTATAGTCTTCTCTCCCTCCTGTGACAATGCTGGTCATATTATTTCTCCCTAATTTACAATAGCGATCAGTGGACCTCGCGTGTGCAAACTTTGCAGGGTGATTCTTTACGTAGAAACAACAACAAACAGCAAAAAAACGAAGTGTGTGAAAAGTGGAATCATTTATATATATACAATTTTAAGCAATTAAAAAGGAGGCACTTCGACCACATCGTCTCAAACTTCAGTCCTGCCGACCCATTACGGGACACACGGTGCGTTTTACACGTTTTACACGTTTTACACGTTTTACACGTTTTACAATCTTCTCCGTTAGAACGAAAAGGAAGTGGTCGAGCCTAACGCTCTAGTATGCCCACGTGGATGCAATCGACCGTTTTGAATTGGCGGCGCAATCTCTCACGAGCATTGTCTTAATTACAACATAGCAAAGTGTGCAGTTTTTGAAATAAATGAAATAATCACATTTCAAATTCGTTGCGGTTTTAACTTCAACCTGAACTGTATTCACCTCACATTTCCCCACCAGGATTGTGTTGACACACCACGGAGAGATACCACATTTCTATAATACTGTACTGTTCTGCGTGGTTAAAATGCAGTGAGTCAAAATATCCCCCTTCTTGGTTCTTTCGGTAAAGTCACGTCGAAGGGAAGTAATAAAATAATAAAAATAAAACATAATAAAACAATTCTCACGACGTTTCGGCTACAGCGCAAGCAGCCGTCTTCAGGTGAAGAATGAGACACTACCAAGCTAGGAGCTTATATATACGCTGGGTTGGAGGTGCAAGAAGAGCGCCTTAACAAAAAAGAATGTGCATATGAAGAGGAATTTAGCACATTCATGGGAAATGCGTAGGAGGTGGGCGGGGGGGTTTCAAAGTCATATTATGCCCATGCATTATGCAGGATCAACAGCACCAAGGGGGGGTGCAGTAGCATTAACAAAGGAAAAGAATGTTAATAGTATGTAGCTGCAGTTACTAAACAACAACGTAGAAAACTAAAGTATAAACTACATAAAAAAAACTAAAGTATAAACTGCATAGCACCATCAGTATACTTACTATACTCTACAATAAGCTGAGTTACTAACAGCAAGTAATACATTAAAATTCTACGTCGTAAAAATTATATAATATGCTTCCATCTAAACTTTATTCTCTTACATCACACGAGCATACACCGTACTATATA